ATATATATGAGTGTGTGTGTGTATGTGTATGTGTGTGTATGTGTGTGTGTATGTTGTGTGTGTGTGTGTGTGTGTGTGTGTGTGTGTGTGTGTGTGTGTGTGTGTGTGTATACTAAACGCGCACACAGACACATGGGAGTAGCGACGAAAGGTGAAGAACACTTCCTGCAGACAGGCGCAGCTTTATCAACTCCAACAGATGGAAACGCGCGTGACACCGGGTTTCGGCGACTTATATAGTTACATACCTCGCAAAAATCGGCAGCACAGGCCTGAATCCAAATGTATTTTGTATTGAATTCATCGACTTCGTTACGTACGTAGGTGTCAACACTAGCGTTCGGGTGCGTGTAGCGTTGCTGGTGAGTCGCTTCAAACTACTGAGCGCTACGGAGAAAGACATTATAGTGATTGAAACTGAATTTACTGAGCGGCGACGTGTCTATGTGAAATGATGTCAGTGCTATTTGTGAAAAGTAGACATATGCCAATCACCCAGAAGGCTTTGTTTCAGAAGAAGGCTAAAGTAAATATCATACATATTTTTCATTTTAGCATATGAGTTTGTTCTGCCAAGCATAGTTGCCCACGCCCCACGGCCTTCGAAATAAATTTAAAATTATAATTACACGCACTAGAAGAGAAGGCGTTCTTTTTTTAAAGGAGAAAACAACAACAGAAAAAAAGCAAAAACAATACCTCACGTCTCACGATTGTGGTCTCTTCGAGTCTTCTCGTCTTGTGTGATAAATGATAATCATGTAAATATTATAAATTTAAATAAGTAAATAAACACCCCGCCTTGTACATTATACATAGCAGATGAACACTTCCGCAGTGATTTGGCTACTGACTACGCACTGCAGTGAGTCAGCTGCAAAGTAGTACCCGCCATGCACTGGATACTGAATGTGCTAGCAGTCTTTCTGTCTGTGGTGGTAGGGTTTGTCATAACTAACATCCCAGACATTGACCCTCATCCAATGGTCCACCAGCCACTGCGCCCTCTGCCACAGCGAGGAGACGCGCACGTGACTGCGCTGGACAACGTCGAGTACTTGTTTGCCGACGACAATTCCTTCGTAGGCCCAGAGTCCTTTGTGTTTGTGGACGACGACACCGCCGTTACAGGCATCAACGACGGCCGCATAGTCAAAATAACAGGTGTGTGAGTGCAGCTATTGTCAGAATAACAGGTGTATGAATGCAGATATTGTCAAAATATTAGGTGTGTGAATGCGCTTATATGAATCCGAATAGGTCATGTGTAGAGAGCCGTGCGTTGGTGGCTAACTTCTGCACTTGTTTGTGAGTTGTTCTGAGTTGACGTACTAAGAGTGCAGTTAGTGGGCAGTTGCGTTACACACTTCGAGTGCGTTCGTGCGTATTCAGTGCCTTCGATCTGTAGCGCACATCACATGTGTGTGAATCTATTGCCCTGCACGCCTACTGACTCGAATGGGTGCGCATGTGTGCTGTAGTTGCTAGTCGATGTGACTGTGCCTTGTTAGTCATTGGCACATATCACGTTTAGCACCTGCGCAACATTTTTTGTTGTCTGTTGTGTTGTGTTGTGTTTGTTTGTAGTGTTTTATGGTTTGTGTTGTGTTGTATTGTGTTGTTTGTGTGCGTAGTGTTGTATGGTTTTTGTTGTTTAGGGTTTAGCTCAGTCAGTATAGCGCATGTGTTGTCTGTCGCAAGTGCCGAATTCTCTAAGCATTAGCTGCAGGCGCCTACCCGAAACTCCACTGTGATGTGTCGTACTTAGTGCCCCTGTTGCTATGGCAACATGGCGCGTATTAATTAAACGTATAAGCTGCCTGTTGTTGTGTGCATGCTGGGTTGCCTGCTCTATAGCCTCGGCAGCTATGCGCACTGCAGGAGATGGAATAAGGCATCAGAGATCACCTACTGGTTGCATGGACACTCCACTGCAATCCACATGCTAAAACCCACAAGACAGACAGCTTTGTGCATGCTGATGGTGTTCATATTATGTCTTTTACATATGATTTTCATTAGACAGACAGCTGTGTGCATGCCAATGGTGTGCACATTCTGACTCTCACATATGATATCCATTAGACAGGCAGCTGTGTGCATGCCAATGGTGTTCTTATTCTGACTCTCACATATGATATCCATTAGACGGACAGCTGTGTGCATGCCAATGGTGTTCTTATTCCGACTCTTATATATGATATCCAGGTCTAGTAAAGGGCCCCATTCGCTATAATGAAGTGACACGCACAGGTGAGTATGTGGAGGGGTGTGGTGACATTGATAAGGAGCTCGTGTGCGGCAGACCGCTCGGGATGAAACTGTATCCACTGGACACAAACAAACTGATAGTGGCAGACAACCATGTAAGTGCACCCCGAGTGATAGTGTAGGGTTATAGAGTTAGGGGGTTTGAAGAAAACATTACATTGTTACCTGCAGCACATGTACCTGCTACTTAGAGAAGCACACCTCTGGTCACCAGGGTAACGGCAGTTGAGGCGCAGTTGCTTCGGGGTACAGTTGACTGGTATGGCCAACACCGCTGCCTCGTGCAATTACGATAGCGATGGTGGTCAGTATTGTCTGTGGCTGTTGCGTAGTCTCTGCAAGTGATGCATGTGCCGCTTCGGTGCCATCGTGCCTACGTGATGTTGTGAATGTTTTCTGCAGATACATCACCTTGTCCTCTGCGTGTGTGACATGTGTTGCATGTGCATCCCTTTCTCTCGTGATAGTATGTCTTCTGCGTGTGTGGTGAGCGTGGCTGAATTCTTGTCCACGGCATTGCGTGCCCTATGTATCTGCTCAGAAGATGTCCCATTTTATTTCAACCTGCGATGTATCTATGTAATAGCTACACACTTGTTCTAGTAAGTGCGTCTTCCTTGAGTGGTACCCCCGAGTGTTTCTGTTGCCCTATACTTGTACGGGTCTTCTACACCCTGCGTTTGACGTAGAGGGTATCACCGTTTAGATAATTGTGCTATCCCTGTAACAGACTGGTTGCACTCGTGTCTGGATAGTTTCATTTGCGCAGAATATGGTCTAAGTATATATATATATATATATATATATATATATATATATATATACATATTTATGTTTTTATATATTTATATGTATGAGTATATGTATATATATATATGCCGCACTCTCTATATATTCTTATATTCCGATGCATGTACGTCGCGTGTGGTTCTCTTTCTGTCCAGTTCTTATCCTCCGACCTATGTCGAAAGGAATGCCTTACAATTAAGCAGTGTGGAATGATTGTCTGTCATGTGTGCGAGCGTGAGTGTAGTGGCTGTAGCATGTCAATTGCCTGATGCACTGGTAGTGACTGTTTGTTGGTGATAACGCAGGGTATTCTCATGGTTGATCTCACCAGTGGTGCTGTGGATGTGCTGGCGAGCCCACAAGACCACAACCTGACACTGCCCAACGACATCGAAGTGGCCGACAACGGCGACATCTACTGGACACACTCGGGTGAGCAGTTGTGTGTGTGAGCGTTGGTTGTGAGTGCTTTGATTGTGAGTGCTGTGGTTGTGAGTGCTGTGGTTGTGAGTGCTTTGATTGTGAGTGCTGTGGTTGTGAGTGCTTTGATTGTGAGTGCTGTGGTTGTGAGCGCTTTGGTTTTGAGTGCTTTGATTGTGAGTGCTGTGGTTGTGAGTGCTGTGGTTGTGAGTGCTGTGGTTGTGAGTGCTTTGATTGTGAGTGCTGTGGTTGTGAGCGCTTTGGTTGTGAGTGCTTTGATTGTGAGTGCTGTGATTGTGAGTGCTATAGTTTTGAGTGCTTTGATTGTGAGTGCTGTGGTTGTGAGTGCTTTGATTGTGAGTGCTGTGGTTGTGAGTGCTTTGATTGTGAGTGCGGTGGTTGTGAGTGCTGTGATTGTGAGCGCTTTGGTTGTGAGTGCTTTGATTGTGAGTGTTGTGGTTGTGAATGCTGTGGTTGTGAGTGCTGTGGTTGTGTGTGCTCTGATTGTGAGTGCTGTGGTTGTGAGTGCTGTGGTTGTTAGTGCGTTGGTTGTGAGTGCTTTGGTTGTGAGTGCTGTGGTTGTTAGTGCGTTGGTTGTGGGTGTGAGTACTTTTAGTTTGATAAATCAGGTATTGTGAACGGTGCAATTGGGGTGAGAATGTGATGTTATTGCCTTTTAGACTTCAAATAGACACCTAAACCCTAAACCCTGAAGTCTGCTGATATCACCCTCACTTGACTCTCCCTGCACTGAGGCAGCAAGGTTGTGAATTACGCTCAGCAATAGCCAATCTGTCACGAAAGAGGTGTGGTGATGTGAACTTATGGGACTGGTTTCGTATCATTTAGTCACCATCTCAATCCCTCACATGCTTGATCTGCCTGTGCAGGCCCTACTTATCGACATACAATACACCATGTTATAATGGCGTGTGCACCCTCTGGTAAACTATTCAAGTACAACCGCGACTCTCAGAAGGTACCTTTGGTGATTTATGTGTGTGTGTGCCACTTAGTCCAACCATGTTACCCGGCAGTGCAATAGCTTATGAATGCAACGCAGTACTGAGTACTTGGCGTAGGCAATTTTGATCGAGCCTTCTAGTCGCTGTTGTGGTCGTAGTCTATGGTGTGCGTTTTGCCTGCGTTGTAGTAGCCAGAGTGTAGGCTGCCCATTTGCTTTCCAGATTGTATTATCGCTTCGAGAGGGTGTTGTTGGCAGACTGTTTGCCACGTGTGGTCCGTATGATTTAAAGCATGCAGACACAAGGATTCGACAAGTGAGGGAATTGACATCTGTCGTATGAGTTAAAACGGATGGGTGACGTACTGCATGGGCACCGGCACAGTTTACATCTGAATTGTGAGTGCGAAGTCTTAAACCTAAAACCCCAAAACCCTAAAACCCAAAGACGCATACCACCAACTAATAGGTGGAAGTGTTGAAAGACGATCTGAGGTTCCCAAATGGAATCACGATGAGTCATGACGGGAAACGCCTACTGATAGCCAGCTGTTGCACCGCATCTGTCAATCAGTTTTATCTTGAGGGCCCTAAGATGGGCACAGTGGAGCCGTTCATCACTGATCTGCAAGGTGGGCATAACTGTGTGAACTATACTACAGTATGCATATAGTTACATATCCAACTATTACTACAGTCTACATATAGTTACATATCCAACTATAACTACAGTATGCATTTAGCTAAATATCCCATGCTTAGAGGCCCCGATTTGTGACTGCAAGTTTCATGTGATGCTGCGCCAGCGCCCATTTGTGGCGGATAAAAAGTTCGAAGCGAAATGTCGAAATAAGCTTAATTTGATCGATGGACTCTGCCCGTACAAACCTCAACAGTCCATTGCAGACAATGAATCTGTGTATGTATGAGATGACTTTGCGGGTGGCCTATGTGCGTCTTCCTATGCCATCGTTACCTACCAACATATCTCACGGATGCTTGTCGTCATATAGCGTACCGGTTCTCTTGTTGAACTGGTACTGTTCGTATTAGTTTGCGTACACCCAGATCTACGGATTCGCATCAGGCGGGAATAGTAATGACAAACGCATAACAATCGACAGGCACGCCAGACAACATCCGTCGGAATGTGCGAGCGGATGGTAAAGTATCGTATTTTGTGGGTTTAGGGAGTAAGCGTTCGGCACCATTTGCGCTGGAAAACCTTGTCGGTAAGTGGAATGCTTGCCATAATTTGTGCGTGTCAAATAATCTAATGACGAATTACCAGACTTTGTTGTAGTATTTTCGAGTGAGTGGCAGCTTCATCAGCTGTCAATATGCGGGAGCATCCTATTTGCATTGATCTGATTCTACAGCCACTTCTCATAGATGTCATTTCCTATCCACCCTGCTGTACTGGCTTTCTAAAGCGCAAACTTTCTGACTCACAATTATCGCTTATTTATTAACCAAATCAAACACTATCCACTATCATACTGCTCTCGATATCTCTGGCCGAAAACTTGCCCATCTAAGGCCCTTACCCGTTCATCAAACGAGTGATTGCTAGCCTTCCACTGAACACATTTTCGTCGCTCGTACCAAAGTATGGGGTTCAAATAAGTCCGTTTACGATTACCTGTGCTTGATTTTCTTGCATGTCTATTCGCACATCTGCAGCCTTTTCGCGGAGTTGAATGATTGTTGAAACAATACGCGACAACCGTTGAGTTCTTCTCACTAACACCTCACGGCATTCGCTTATGCTCGAGTTTTCATCGGAACAGCTGTTCTCATACAACTCTTACTCTTCAATCGATTCTGCGACAGAAGCGTCGCTATTGAGCAAGTACACAGATCACGTATCATTCTGAGTGTTGTTTTTATCGTGTTCCTGCTAGATTTGGTCAGGTACTAGACCTCCGTGAAGATGATAGAGATCCCACCAAGGGAACCATAGGCCACTACTATATCGACTACCAAGATAGGAAAGTGGATGGCAAAAGTGTGTATTGGGCAAGTGAAGCCGAAATACATAACGGTTATTTGTACATCGGCAGCTGGTGTGCTCCATACCTTAGTCGGGTAAAAATTGAATAGCGCAACATACTGGTCAAAATTAGATGCATACTGCGTTTAGAAACGCAACAACTATCATGAGGGCAGTTGTAATTTATCAAGTGTATATGAGCCATAAAGAATCCTTCTTCCCTGAAAATTCATCCGTATTTTCTGTTGCTAAAATTCTGGCCTAAATATATTGCAAATCACACTTTATGTTTTGGAGCAACACAACGGCCCTGCGATTGATCAAATTGGGACTGGCATCCAAGTGGTGAAGTATCCACAGCATATTGATTAAGCTCTCAATTTCGCGGGTGGAGTTGGGAAATACGGTAATTTCAAAGGGGTCTTCTACCTATTGTAGGGGTGTGTGCGGAGTATTAAACAATGATATTTAGCCAGCCAAAACCCCCGATGTACTCTAAGCTGCTTTCGCCTGTCGACCTGCCTCGCCTGCTGCCCATCGGTACTCAGTGGTAGCCTAACTTTATAATACTGCATAGGTTACTCAGTGGTAGCCTAACTTTATAATACGGCATAGATTATATATGCTAATGTTATAATACTGTATAGGTTTTCGGTGAGATATGTGAAGGGATCTTGTTTCGTGATAGTTTTGACAAGTTACAACAGATAGAGTTGGTGGATTTAATGGGCAATGTAGTATCGCTGAAACATTCACCGCGACCCTCCCTGAAAGCCCAATCCTCGGCATGTCAATAAAATACGAATTGACACTCCTGAGATTGTAATTTATAATAAAATGTATAAAAAACTGAAGAAGAAGTCCACCTAAGGGGTTACACAGAATAAGAAATGAGTGCTGCTTGAACCGAGTCGGAATTGCATACTCTACACTTCAGAAACTTCAACAGTATGCGTTGCTATGATATAAAAGACTGCGTGCAAAAAATAAAGGCTAGAGCGCCATATAGTATCATATGTCGATGATGCGGGGCGCTCATGGCGTTCCACTACTATATTGCTGCATTTGATTCTTATTTGTCGTTTGCCTTGTTGAATTTACTGCATTTGATCCTTATTTGTCGTTTGCCTTGTTGAATTTACTGCGCTTGACTCGTTTTGTGAATAGAAAGGTGGCATGTATGAGTATCCTCAAATGGCAAGGATACTCCGCCGGTTTATATTTTAGGACATAATGTGTGGGTCAAGTGCAAATTTCTTGATAGACGCTTCCCTCCGTGTTCAAGTAGCCAAATCGTTGTAGCGTCACAAACAGAATATGTATTGCTTCTGTCAGTCAAAAGTCGGCATGTGCTATGATGGTCCGCTTTAAATCGATATTAGATGCTCGAAAACATTCCTAGAACGTTTACTACCCAAGATCGGAATGTTGCTCTCCGCTACTTTAATTTATCATCTTAGAGCTTTGTTCGCAGTCCGCAGATGATACCAAGATACGATCTGTGTAAAAATAGCAACTGCTTCTTGTAATAAGTTAAAATATGTCTATCCAGTCAACACAAATCCAGCAGTTTACAAATTCTAGTCCCTTCTCACACTTACATGTTGCGGAACATTCAAATCCTTTCAGTACTTGCTGGTTATGATGTATTTTCAGGCATTCATGGGTTAAAATTGGTGATTCAAGTGTAATTTGGAAAATGAAAATTCCTTTGAAGGGACATCTAGTCCATGAATTGACTGCACTTATGTAACCTTTTTCTTGTACCGATGCAGACTGCAACCAGTGCAGATAAATGTGGTTTACGTATCTTACAATCTCTACTGTCTTTCTCATCGCCAAACTTCGATTAGGCCTTGTAGGACACTTTATCTAAATACCTTGTATGAGAGCCTGACAATGTTCCAATGATGACATGTATGTCTCAGGCTAGAATTGTGGAGAAAATATACGCAGACGAAAATTCATAGTAAAACTTCAATCTTAACATAAGATTAACTTACGCTCTTCGGCCTATTGCACATTCAAGCATCTTATAAATTGATTACCATTTTTCTACTATTGGATTGACATTGTTTGTAGAAATCATATAAGCCGCAGTGAAAAGAATCGTGGCATTACTTGTTTACAAATTAAGTCGAGAATATACATTTTATTTTACACCAGTCCGTATCATTGGCATCAGATTCAGATTGAAAGGCAAACAGGAAATAACACGTGAACCACCTTGCCCGAATGAGCGAGTTTGATACTTTGCCATTAGCAACGACACAGTAAACTAGCATGTTGAGTGGATTTTGAACACGCCGATACATTACAAAGTCGTCCGAATCAAGAACCTTTGAAGCGTACAGTACACGTGAACTATGCACTGAAAGTACTGGCAGTTCCAGTGTTCTCTTTTTGGAAGTATTCACGGAAACAATGCCTTACCGACGTTGTTCGCGACAATAACGAATACAGCCGTACACATATGTATACAACTATGAATACATAAATTATCTATATAGATAGGTATGTATGTAAGTGGTAGATATTTTGGAGCAGCGTCTTGTGTGTATGTATCCATACCGCATATGATGTATAGTTATCAACATATGTGCTTATATGCTATGTTTCTAGCATCTATCCACGTACCATAATGGTATAGTGACATACAAGCTATATACTCATTCAGTGCCACCGGGGATGCAAGTCGTCAAAGACAAGCCAAGTAAGCGACATAAATGACATAGTGAGTCACTAGTGATACTTCCCTCGAAAATTCAGTATCAGAATTTCTTCAGACGCTGAAACTCTCACAAACATAGAATATATCGTGCTCAAAGCTAGGCGAACCATGTATACTGCCACGTGTGACAGGTTGAATGCCCTAGAACGTTTGAATCGTATTGCTATTATTCTATAGAGGTTTGTTGCTTCTAGAAAAACACCAGGTCCAACATTAAAGATGCCTGCCAACGGCAAGGCTCGCACGTTCAATCACATCTTGGCGACTAGGTCATGGGGAAGGGGTCCATCTAGATGTGATTCTTACGAGTTTAGTTAAAGAGTTAGCCGACTATACAACGTTACCGTATAAGAACAGTTCATTATTCCTTATCACGAAATCTAGCATCCTCATTCACTGCACGCACTGCACACTGATGATGTAAAGGGTTGCGACGCTTATTCCGATCTGATCGCATATAACCGTGTTCTTCGATTGCACCTGCGATGCGTGTTCGTATAAAGATGTTAGTATATTTGGCACGTACAGCAGTGTCTTGATTTATTCTACGTTCCATCTCAATATTCACTTATGCTCGTTATTCAATTGTCATCTAATTTTTTGTAGAACGTTGAAAAATCCCGAACTTTGTGTTTGAATCTATTGTAATAGCTGTTTTACTAACCGTCATTGTTGATGATTGTATATTCTCGCTGAAATATGTCGGCACCTTCAAATGTAAAGATCAAAGATATTCCTTCCTTCGTATGCTCTATTTCTGCAGTACATATTTTATATTGTGTAAAACAAGCGGGTTACTAATATTGAAGCGCATGTAAACATATTTTATAGACATATTCATAGAGTTGGAATACATTTAAACGTCAAGGTAAATGTTCGCTGAAATCATAACAATAAATTTTAGGACTTCTGATAACGAAATAGTACATTTTCGAGTATCTAGGCTCTACTGCGGACACTACTTGAAATAGTAGCTCCCCCCCCCGGAGCACCCCCAACCCCCCTCCCCCACCACCACCTCTTCCAAAAAATAGAGATACATACCGAAAAGGGCATCAAGTGATGAAATCTGATACTTAATTGTGGCACTTGGTATATTACTGAATACTCTGAACGCAATATAATGAACTGAGAAATAGGACATGATTTTGACTCCTCCTAGCCAGTCGAATAGATGTACCCGCCTATGCCTTAAATGGGATCGAGTGCTAGGTACCCCGATTTTTGACGAACGAAATATGTAAATCTTGTCTTGGATACTGACACCGAATCAATTTAGATAGACGGAGTGAGTATTTAAAGCGGAACTACAAAGACAACAAGTATTGTGTTCTCCATTCTTGTAGCTCACTACCGAGGGCTGAAGCTGTTTAGAACTTACTTTCACTTTTCGCAATTTATCATATTGGTGTGTGTCTTTAGCGCAAACTTTTTAGTATAGTATAGCCAACCTGGTTATTAGACCCTTTTTTACACGTATTTTTAAGTTTATAAAATGCTGTCGGTATTGTGACTACGAGTGTTTGTAGGTATCTGAGTTTTCAATTCAGCTACATGTGCATAGCACAAAGTTTTGAGATGATGCAGCGATGGAAGTAAGTTTGAGGTTTAAATATAATATCAATAAAAATTACATTTATAGCATATCTAAAGCCTTCCTCCTTATATCGGCCCTGTTTCTGTGCTCGCACCGCATCCTGGTGATTACAATTGTATGATTCAATTCAGCTACGTGTGCATAGCACAAAGTTTTGAGATGATACAGCTATGGAAGTAGGTTTGAGGTTTAAATATAATATCAATAAAAATTACATATATAACATATCTAAAGCCTTCCTCCTTATATCGGCCCTGTTTCTGTGCTCGCACCGTATCCTGGTGATTACAATTGTATGATTGGATCCCAAGCTATCATAACCTGTTTCTGTTTGTATTTCCCTTCATAGTCCTAGTTGCCTACACTCTTTTTTGGATTCACTCGTGATACCAGTATACTATTACGTTGTAAAAGCCGGGCCTCCACATTAGAAGCTTGTAAAATAAACGTACTCTTAATAGTACGTAAAACGCACTCTTAAAATTACGTAAACTCCTCAATGGTTTTTAACGGTTTTTATTAATTAAATACCTTTTCCATTTTAAATATCAGATATTTGGACAAGGCCATTAAAAAGCCCCAGTAAAATACCAAATATAAAATTTAGTCTGGTTCTATTAATAGAACTATATTAACCTTCCAAATCTATTTATATCTGGATACTTCGGTAGCGAGATGGCTCAACCGATTTCAAGGACTATTAGCGTTGCTTAGTTTATCCTCCGTTCAGCCAACCAGATGCGCCAGTCGGATGAAGGCTAAGTCGGTAATTCTTGATAAGTGGCAAGTTATTGGTTAATGCAATGACTATGGACATTAAGAGATTTTTTCTTTTTTTTCTTTTTCTTTTTTTCTTCTTCTAAAGATAGGATTTTATGAGTCACTCGGATTCGCCCCAACGAAACATACCATAGTTTCTAATAAAGCGACAACGAAACACTAAATAAAATCCCTTCGGCGAAAACAGTACTTAGAGGGTTATATATAGGCAATGTCTCAGCCTCACAATCCCTCAGAGTATTGCTGTTTTCACGAGGCATACCTAACTTTACTAAAAGACTCATTTCGTTTATTTACATTGAATTTAATTATACTTAGACTTAAACTCTAAGGCGTTAATACAACGTAAGCTCTTAAGTTTGTGATTAGAGCTGATGCAGAACGAGGCCGTTTGTTCTTTTCTCAACGGATGTACGCACTAGGAGTTGATTTTTTGTGATGAATCTACTGTACTATCATTCTGGTGTATGCACAGCCTGATTGATATGACGTTGGCCGGATATCCGTCGCACACGACAAAATCAATCTCGAATTCCGCACATTCTAATGCAAAGAAAAGTTGTATAGCGGAACGTGCCCAAAATATGCCCTGCTTTCAATGCCACAGGCGATTCTACATACATGCAAAAGCTATCGAAGCTCGAAGTTCGTCCCGTAACACGAATTGCATAACAGACTGAGTTTGTTCGGGAACTCCGGGTATTTGGGAAACGAACTTGTCTTGAGGTTTGCAATATTCTCAAAGTGTGCAACAAGCCCGTAACAGGATTTGTCCTTAATGTTCACATACACTCCCACCACCAAGTGCACCCCATCAAACATTAGTACACACTGCTTTCCAAGCGGTTTCTTATCTGCTAGGTCCTTTTTGCCGGAATTTTCCTAGATGTTGTGTCACGTATTTTGCTCCAATGTAGGCCTGACCCAGTAGTTCGAGCATGTAAATAGTGTTTAACTGTAGTTACGAAGGGAAGTACTATGAATTCCTGTGTGCGCAATTCATTTTAGGCACCAGCACACTTACAATAAACAGCGATTACAGCCCTTACGATGATCATATTGGCGAATAACGTACTCATGAGGCCTTACCCTCTCTAACCTTGCGTAGTATATCAACCTGCTCCGTTCAAAACTGCTCAAGAACCCCAGTATCGTCAGTTGCATACAAAGCCTTCAGATCTGCCGATACACTACTTTCATTCAAGCATGGTAGAATAGTATCGATAAGTTCAACTGGTATTGGGATATAAGATGGAGTAATAAAATTGTCAGTGAGCAGCTTCACTTCCTCTTTCAGCGCTCGCAACTGTTTATGTGTCACCTTTTGCTCCCCAAGAAGCTGTTCCCGAGACTTATATCAATGCGGGTCTGTAGTGTGATGTAGTCTCCTTCCGCTTCTTGCTCTCGATGATAAGCTGCTTGTCTTGACTACAGACATCGCACAGAGTCTCATTTCTTTTCGATCCCTTCTCACGTCCCCCTACGACACACTCCTTGGCACTGCATTTTCAACGAAAGACTTCTGCCCGAAAGTTACCAGCTAGGTCGAGCTGTACCGTTTGTATCAGCTAAAGTATCGATAACCATGCCCCAGTCGAATTGGTTTTTGAACTGTAGTTTCATGTTAAACTGTGATCTTCCATTTACTAAATGCAGCTCTACGGTGTCATTAACTATGCGAGCCTCCAGTCTAATATCCGGTTTGCATTGATCAACTAAACACCAGTACAATACCGAATCTGTTTTAGTAGAGGCTGATGATTGAAAAATCATTAACTTGTCGTTGTGACCATGTTGTTGAATGAAGTTCTCAACTTCGACTCTCTTTGCCTCTATATCATTCCTTGCCCGTTATGGTTCACTGACTTCTCGGGTATTATTCAACTTAGTGTTCCGCGCCGATCGCAAGGTTGGTCTGAATGTCCAGCTATAATGGATTACATCGTTATTTACAAATTTCGCATGTGTTTTTGTTTCTCCCATTTCAAGCCTTGCTCAGTGAATAGAACTTCAGATTGTTTGGAAGAAAACAGTACCGCATCGGCTGGCAGATAGTTTCTACCGTTGATGTGTTTTACGTGATGTAGCTCAAAGTGCTCTTCGCATTATTATGTGATAGTCCTAGGGATTGTACTGGCTGAGTCTGTTGCTTGCAGCAAAGGTTGTCGTAGAGACATGATTGCTTCTATAGTGAAATTTACTATGGTAACGGCGTTGGCCGTAGTATTTGGAAGGTATATCTGATTCTCGGTGCCAACACACGACTTAACACCCTCCCGATACGAGCACTTACGCACGATTACGATCGTCTGCAGTAATCTAAAGTTCAAGGTCAGTGAGAACAGTGTAGTATCAAGTGATGTGGCCTCTTAACTCCGATGACCAACATCTTATATACTCGCATCATGATTGCGCTGCAGTGTCGTGTTCACTAGTGTGCTTATGTATGAGATATACTAGTAATATACTCAACTTTCGTGTTATCTGCAAAAATAGTGGACAACACTTTTTTGGTACCTCGTCCCGCGCCGAAATTAGAATCTATTAGGAAGTCCGGTACCCTTGATTTAGAGCGGTGCTCTCTTGTTCTTCTTATTATGTAGTGCAGTTGTAGACTTGCAGTCTGCAGATAAATACATATTTACGTTCATAGCTTTTAGCGGTAAATCAATAGAATTTAGGTCTCTTGGTGCAGAGATTGCAGACTGTAATTTTTGGATTTATAGATTTAGGACCGGACGTTGAGAATTTTGAGGGACACAAGTTTATCGGTTCCTTTTCTTTTTAAAAGAAGAAAATATCATATTTATATATATTTAGGCCCTGTTCTGCAACTCTATGAAAATGTCAATTTTTGAAGAAAAAAAAGTCCATTTTAGATCGATTTTATATTTTCAGATTTTCATTATAATAAAAACGGGTACAACAACATTCTCAAAAATATTTGAGTTCCTTATATACTTTTTAAAAACGGCCATTATTTCCAACCGTCGATTTTTACGCCTACGTCAGCTTTTTTTCGTAAACATCAATACCGCCAAAAATAGAAAGAGCAAAAACGAAACCACGCCATTTCTCAAAACAGGTATCGTTTTGTTCGTGCTGCTAAAAGTTGAGATTTTTCGTTCCATTATCGTTAGAATATATAAAGTACAGTCGTACTTTGCAAGTGCCACACCATTTATCAGCCACAATGAGTGCAAACCCATCTCACGCGCCTAGATCCATGGATTCTCTTGTGGAGGAAGATGAGGTCACTGGGACTAAATCGGCTGAAGATTCGTCTGACGTGGCTGATCAAAATAGCCATATATCTACACAAAACAAAATACACAACCCGATCTCCATCAACTTTGTATGTCGACAGTTCTACCATACTTAATCCTATACAACCCACTTTCAAGTCGAAACCATCTAGCGTGTGTGTTGGTTTGTCGAAGAATGCGACAAAATCAAAGAAAAAATCGGCTTCTACCGGTAAAATGCCTAGAGCGGATTCGGAAAATGATGGGGGTTTTCAAGACGCGACATTAGTTCCAGGATACATGGATTGTGTCAAATCTGGACTAGGTGCACCAATGGGCACGGATGGAAAATGCAAGAATCTACAAAAGAGTGGGTGGACTGCCGTTGGCAATCAATTTCGTAAAGCATGTACGGAAATCGGAGATGATGGCAAAGGCTACACTGATCAACAGCTTCAAAATCGATGGAACAAGGTATAACATATGTATGCTGATGCTATTTACAGCTTTGTACTATTATTGCAAAATATGTCGTGTCATCTGTATTTGATTTTCCTTTGTATATTGATCATTTCTATATCATTTTGTTTAGCTTTGCTCACAGCATCGCAACTTTAAGAAGTATTTACTGGGAGGTCAAGAAGGGGGTAAGTCGGGAATGGGATCATATACAGGTGAGGAAGCAATTACGAAAATGCTAGTCCATCCTGATTTCCCTTTTGAATTGAAGAAACTCGTAGATGTAGATAATACACGCATCTACAAGCCCCGACACTTTGACAATATGAATGATTTGTTAAAAGACGTACACGCAACTATGGAGAACATCAAGGCACCACCTGGGAGTGATATGAGCGCCATAGCAGGTGGATTAGAATCAGGGGTAAGCGATTATATGTAATATGTGTTTATATATGTACTCAGGGTGTAAATATATGTATGCACGTGTGTGCTTATAAGCACATTTGTGTTTGTGCGCATGTGTGTGTTTATGCGCATGCATGCGTGTGTATATGTTGTGTGTATTTATGCGCATGTATGCGCGTGTATGTATTTATGCGCATGTGTATATTTATGCACATATATGCGCATGTATGTGTTTATGCGCATGTATGTGTGTGTATGTGCTGTGTGTATTTATGCGCATGTATGCGCGTGTATGTATTTATGCGCATGTATATATTTATGCACATTTATATATTTATGCACATATATGCGCCTGCATGTGTTTATTCATATGTATGCGCATGTATGTGTTTATGCGCATGTATGCGCATGTATTTGTTTATGTGCAAATATGCTCATGTTTGTATTTATGAGCATATATGCGCATGCATGTGTATAAGCACATGCATGCGCATATATGTATTTATGGGTATTTATGCGCATGTGAGAGTCTATGCGCATGTGTGCGCATCGGTGCGCATGTGCGTGCAGATGAATTGTTATAACACATAAGATAGTTACTGTTTTGTAAATCTATATACAGACAAAAAAGCCGCGTACAGATTCCGCTATAGCCTTGGATCTTGAATTTTCAAGCGATGATTCTGTCAACGAATACAGCAAGACCACAACAGTAGACAGCAGTATTGGGAGTAGTGGAAAAAGAAATGTATTGAAGGAAACACCCATTTCGGCTGTTAAATATGCTAACAAGGATACAAGGGTGGCAATAAGAACAAATATACAAAAGGTTCTGAAGGCCACAAGAACAATGTCATCCCTAAAAGTAACCAGACCAACAGAAATGGACCGCCGGCAGGCAACCCTAAGCCCAGGCATAGGGACGTCAAGAACTGTAGTGCGACTGATTGCAATTGGCGAATGACCCAACATGAGCCGAATGGCAAATGGAATGGAAGGCACGCAGACAAGTGTAAGCACTTTATCGAGAAGTGTGCCGACTGTACCGGGGCTGGAGGTTACCACAAGCATACATGCAAGGTGCAACCAAAGGTTGAAGTTAAGTGACAAACATACCGGGTCTTGTCACTAAGACAAAAGGACGCACCTCAAGACGAACGTGTAATCCTAGATATACGAGTTAACGGACATGAAATCAAAGCGTTGTTGGATCCGGGCTCGCAAATTTCATGTATATCCTCTAGATTCTGTAAAATGGCAGACGTAACTCGTAAGTCAGAGCCAACTATGTTGAAACTGGCTGATGAAAGAGATATCACTTGCAGAGAAATGGCAAACGATCTTAGGTTTACATTGACAGACCAACGTATTATAATTGCTATGGCAGTCATATGTATTACTTCACCAGACTATGATCTCATAGTAGGTATGAGTGATTTATTGTCATTAGGTATCACAATTACAGGCTTACCTACTAACATTGAACCACAGAAAAATCAGTCGGACGACAACTTGTTGAAACCGGTATATAAACCTTCGAAGACTGTGAAGGAGATGATCCCTCACTTCACAAAGAAACTCAAGGACTTTTCAAGATTCGGATCACTGACTGGGCTAAGTTCAAATTCAATAACGGATACGTTAGCCTAGACCTGACGAGAGTAGATTTCTCGAAGCTGAAGTGTCCTACACGTAACTATGTTGCATTGCGGTATGAGCAAGTCGTACGAGAACAGGTTAAAGCATTGTTAGATGACGGAGTGATCGCAGTCAACTACGAGCCGACTTCCGTCAACCTAGCGCTGTCGACCAATTCAACTCTGACGGGACACTGAAGAAAGTTCGAGTGTGTTTGGATATGAGCCCAATTAACGCTTTGATACCGACACACAATTTTCACTTACCAAGGATAAACGAACTGCTCAGGCGCATAGAGAGAGCTAAGATATTCTCCACTATCGACCTGAAGCAGGGCTACCACCAGATGAAGATCTACAACCCACATCGGAAGTATTTCACCTTTACCTGGGAGGGTCAGCAATATTCGTTCAAAGGTGCCCCCTTTTGGTTACACATGTTACCGGTGTTCTTTCAACAAATTATGCAAGACTTTTCTAGGGATATGGGCAATGTAAAAGTATACATTGATGACATTGTGGTATTCACCAAAACCAAAGAGGAGCACGAAAGGGTTGTGTGAGAGGTTCTAGACAGACTCAACAAGCACAACTTTAAGGTCAACGGTAAGAAATGTCACTTCGGTGTAAACGAGATTCAGCTGTTGGGTTACTGAGTATCCGGGGATGGAATCATGATCGATCCCGGGAAGGTCGACCACTTGCTAGACTGGAGAACTCTTACCACGGGTAAAGATGCCAACAGCATGAGCGGATTCGTCAGCTTTTTGTCTGACGGAGTACCACACTTTGTAAGATTCGGTCTATCACTATTAGAAACTATGGTATGTTTCGTTAAAACCTCATAAAATCCTATCTTTAGAAAAAAAATAGTAAAAAGAAAAAGAAAATACTCTTGATGTCTTTTGTTATTATCTTTACCAATAAATTTCCACTTATCAAGGATTACCGTCTTAGCCTTCATCAGACTGGCACATCTGGTTGGCTGAACGGAGGATCAACTAGGTAACGCTAATAGTCCCTAGAAACCTATATTCGGTTGAGCCATCTCGCTACCGAAGTATTCAGATATAAATAGATTTGGAAAGTAAATATAGTTCTATTAATAGAACTAGACCGAATATTATGTTTGGTATTTTATTGGGGCCTTTTAATGGCCTTGTCCCAAATATCTGATATGTAAAATGGAAAAGGTAATAATTAATCAAACCGGTCAAAAACCATTTAGGAAACTTAAGTTCCTCGTACTATTAAGAATACGTTTATATTTTACGTACTGCTTAAGAGTACGTTTATAACATAGAGTCTAATGTGGAGGCCCGACTATTACAACCTGGCAAGTTATTTAAAGCCCTTTGGACATTTGAGATGTCATAAAGGCAAACTAGGCGCACTGTGGACCAAAGACTGTGATGACGCATTTAAGCAGCTCAAAACAGTGGTTTTAGGGTTTTCAAAACAGCCACCAAAGGATGGTATTCCATTCATGGTAGCAACAGACGCGTCCGACATGGCACTCGGCGACGTCCTGTGTCAAATGAGTGTTGGGAAATCAAGATATGTACAGTTCTTTAGCAGGGCTATGAATTCGTCTCAGTTCGATTACCCAACCGTGCAACAAGAGCTTTTGGCTATTGTAACTGCACTCACTCATTTTAAGGACTATCTATATGGCACGCACTTTAACGTGCTATGTGATCAGAAGTCATTGCAACACCTAAAGGACATGAAACCTAACTCACAGTTAGTCAGTCGGTGGCATGACACGATCGCGAAATTTTATTTCGGCATAAAATACATACCGGGTATTCACATTCACTTACCCGACATGTTATCTCGCTTCGTACCAGGCTTTAACAAGATGGTTAGGGAGTTACTAGCTACAGATTGGATGGCCAATCCTAGGTGGTTTAAGATCGCTGGCAACATATATGGAACACATACCATAGATATGTTTGCCGCTCATCATAGTGCGCAACTGCCGAGGTACGGGACACTGGAACATCCGGAAGGAGACGGATTCCAGATAGACTTGTCTCACGAGAATGCCTGGGCAAATCCTTCATGGCTACCAATACCACAGTTGCTAAATTATGTAAATATTCAAGGTGCTACCATCACGTTGTGTTGTCCCCTAAGACACTCAGATAAATGGCTACCACAGTTGATCTCAATGATACAATGTGAGCCGATCTATGTGGATAGAGAGGTAGATACTTTTCTCTACCAGGGTACCCGTGCAGTTCAAAAGATGTCTTGGAGACATACTATATTATGTCGAATAGGTCAAGTTGGAACAACCAAGTGGACACCATCCGAGACTTTTAAACAGAAGGTTGAGGAATCCAAGATTCCACTCTTGAATCCTAAGTCTCAATCAGAGACTGGGACAATACAAGCACCTGCAGTATGTGTTACCGAAATACAGCCAAATTCAAAGGAATCAAAGAGGAGCGCAACACTAGCGAAAGCCTACTACAAAAAGATACAATATGACAAGGAAACTGCATACCAAGCAGAAACTCGATTGCTTAAGCAATTGATGAATGACTTTCCTGAGGTATATGATCATGTGACTCAACTAATGGATAGATCAAACATTAGTCGGATTCACGATGTAGAAGCTTTAGGCGAGATTGGACAAGGCGAGTCTTCGAGTCCAGGTGAAGACGCGGTGGAATCCTCACCTCTTGATTTCAATGTAACAAGTAAATCACAGGAGGCGATTCTGAAGTGGCTAAGACAAAATCATGCTCTTAAGCACATGGATAAAATTAGAACTGAGAAAGATTGCAAGAGTTGTTGTTCTCAGATATGTAAATAGTTATGATTTATTTGATTCGAGTCCCTGTTTTTATATGCATTGGACTCGTAATGGTGAAAAAGGTTCTCACTTGATCTATGATCCAATTCAAAGGCAGCGTCGCCACGTCTTCAACTGATCGTGGCTTCCATTGTAATCTTTGGCCTTATACGTTTAGTTTGTACTCCTCCGATATTTAGGGATGCCCTTATACCCATCAGAGATTTTCTATAATGATGTTTCCGTACTCCTGGCACTTCGGCTCCGAGATTAATTTCCATCTGTAATATCTCTGTGTCCCTCTCTGAGTTTAGATTCTCTCCTTGGTTGATGCTGGGATAAACCTTGTTGCGCCTCCGGTGTTTGACCGTAGTTTTATGCTTGGTAAACAATCCTGGTTTACCGTGATCAATCTTCCCCTGAAGCTGTAGATGTAGTTTGACAGAATCCAAGCTTCCTAAAAAAAGATTGATCCCGAGGTCTGCTTCGAAGATGTGGCCAAGAATTAGACTCAGAAAAATTTCAGATTCTTGCTTGTGACATCCGGTAAGAGGGAAGATTTCCTGTAAGAGGGAAATCAAGACTGAAAAATATTAATATTGTGGAGTATTTACCGAATCAACAGGTGTGTTGTTTTGGTGGTAAAGTACTTCGCTAAAAAATGTTTAGGTCGTTGGTTCGTTTCCCAGTGGCTTCAAAAAAAAAATTGCATTTGGTGTAAATCTGGTTGGCCCATGGCCCAGTTGAAAATTGTCTTGTGCGTTACGTTCGAATATTGGATCAAAATGTGTACGGTCAGAAGCCCCAAAATTGGGGAGAGGTTCAGCCCATTGCACGCAGGCCAGAAAGTCGGACAAAACAAACAGGACAAAGATCAGCCCAGTAACTCGAAGTACAATAACAGGTGCAGGGCACAAATACTTTTGTTTCAAAAAAAAACAATATAAAAAAACAAGAACGTTAACGTTTGCACACTTTGGCCTGAAAAATCCTACATTTGAGCTCTTTGATTTTTCGTATTGCTCGTTGCTCTTCACTTTTCATCATTGGGAGCTCATTGCACACAGCTTCTAACTTTGAGAGTTCATTCTCAAAATTATTTATTTCAAGATAAATTTAAGCTTTCCAGCCCCGCTTTATCGGGTTCTCAGACTCTATGCTCTGTGCGAGTATGCATTCTCTCCAGCTACAGGTTTAACCATGGTTTTCTTGTGTTTAACGAACAATTTCCTCGAGTGCTTTTGTCAAAGCATCAGCAGTCATCTCGTCTGTGGGCGTGTATCGTAGGACCACAGAATTGTCTTGAATTTTTATCCCGGATATAATAGTGTCTTAGGTCGAGGTGTTTGGTCCTGCGGTTCACCTTTTCATCTTCAGCAATTTTTATGGGTTTTTAAATCACAGTGCACCGCACATAAAAATGACGTAGCCACTTGTTGATTTACGGTCTGTTGTGTCAGAGGCTAAGCTTGCGTTAGCTACCGGCTGTAGGGGTATCTCGGGGTCAAACCTTAGTCCATATCT